AGCGTATGACATCGTGCCGTGTGAAAGAGACAGAGCTAACCTATGATCCGCACGTGAAAATATCAGAGGTGCGAGACCCGGTATTTGAACCCGATTCACTCAGAGTCCCAAGCGAGCGCGTTACTACTGGGCTACCACTGCCTTTTTTCGTCCGTAAACGTTTACTGAAGTATTACAGAAGTAGATCAGGTAGGCTAAGTAGAACTCGATATAATGGCACACAGTTTTTATAATTTGTCACAAAGTCAGATTAACGCCTCAAACAACATTAGGAACGTCGAAAGAAACGACGTCGGACGTATTTCATTAAATAAATATAAACTATAGAAAAGTCGGTGCCAACCGATAATGCTTTAAGGAATGTATATAATAGGTTAATATGAACTTTAATTATATATAGTTTGAAATATCATTAGGGATGAAATATATATTGGGGTGATTCCCCATACATGTTTGTTCTCAGAAATAGTATGACTCCCATACAAACTTTTATCCCCATTTTCACCCCCTTAAGGGATGATTTTCGGGATAAAACCTATCCTTTGTCCTTCCCAGGGTCTCAAAATATCTTCTTACCAAATTTCATCTGAACCGGTTCAGTAGTTTCGGAGCCTATTCGATACAAAGAAACAACCAAAAAATAAAATCTTTCGTCTTTAAAATATTAGTATAGATTTACATCACAGATCTAGCTTTGCTTTGATTTTTCTTTTGGCTGGCACCGACTTCGAAAATATTTAACTAATTTTGTTTGAATTTCTATTAAAATAATGCCTTAATGCCCTAATTTAAAAATGTAATAGGAGAAAAATGACGGAAGTTGTAACTTGTTCTTACATTCTACTTACGCAAGTGAGAAATATGAGCCATCATAATGAATTTGGTTGGTTTCGTTGGTTGTTTAGCAATAAAGTAACTAAACAATCCATGCTGTTTAGTTATTGAAAGAAACTTAAACTGAAGATTATTAAGGTATACCTCTATGTACTCTGTTTTCTTTATATGTGAAAATACATCGAAAAACAACACTCTCTTAGATTTTCTCGAATATTGAGAATTTTATCGAAGCATCTTTTCAAATTTTTTCGCGGATTTTTTTTATACGAGAGATCTACCGACTAGTATCTCCCGTGACGTGATAACTGTACCTATCAAAACATTGGTAATCAAAAATTAAAATAAAACCGCCAATAAATCTGAAAAATTCATTTTCTTCCAAATGTATCAATAATATTGATGCTTCGCGCAATGATCTCAAAAGAATGGCATCCTTATAAAAATAACAACCTACAATATCAACAAGGAGACCGAATCGTCACATTTTTTTAATATTGGTATATAACGTTGAATTATAAATTTGAAAGAAAATCAATATACATCATGTATATAATATCTGATTCATCATCAATTGTAAATATAATTAACTACTCGTAGGCTGTCCTTCGTTGAGTATTTTTGTTACACATTTTCATAGGTGTATACTCACATTAAACGTACCGCGTACGCTTACTTATTAGTTAAATAACTCTTTAAATGCCTCTATGGTCTAGTAGCTAGCATGTACGGCTGCAGATTCTGAGGTCCTGGGTTCGGGTCAAGTTAGTGAAATAAGACAATGATAATCGCAGTCATATAAGTGTTACGAGAAAAAATAAATAAGGAAATTAGTAATAAAGTACAAACATACTTGTTGATATTGCTGTTTTATGTGAGTGAAGGTGCGTCCATTGATGATTGCTATAATGACTTTAGTCCCGTTGTCTACTAGACGAGTGATTTCTTCGCCTTTCCACTTGTACGTGAATACGGCACTTATATTACCTGTAATGAAAAAAAACTATAATGTTAGTTGTCCCGATTCGTATACAAAATAACTGAAATAAACTTTAAACTTGAAATGATTTTAATAGTTTTTTATAACTAAATAATTTTATATCACACTAATAACAATTATCTTTTATTTTAGGTTTTCTGTAAGTAAATTCTTAGTAATAATTGTAAGTAGCCGGTGTTTCATGGAAGAACACGTAAATCGGTAGGTCTTACACCTGATTTTTCACCAGTGGTGTCGAATGGAGAAGATTTCTTGAAAGGAGTGCGCTACACGTATGACCTATTTACATTCACCTTGAGGTTAAGCAATTTATTATGATATCTCTTTTATACCTGGTTTTAGCTTCTATTGTGTTAGTATCTAACCTGTGAAATGTATTGCACCTGGCGGTTAGATCAGCTGAAGGTAGAATTGGGAAAGACAGGTGCATCCAGTGGTGGGCCTGACTAACTGATGGATCAACACATAGCCTAGACTGCTGTTCGTAGAAACGTAAAATTGAGAGGACGTATTCTTTATATGATATAGGCATTCGATAAGAAAGGATTTTTTGAAATTCAAATAGAAATTTAATGTGAAATACACAGAAAGTGATGTTTAGCTTCAAGATAAAAAAAAAATATTTTTTTTTTCAAAATCATCCCTTAAAGAGGTAAAAGGGGGTAATAAAGTTTATATGGACAAAGAATAATTTATGATCAGAATTACTCAAAACTGCTCTTCAATACGTGTTTTAGCATTTTTTGAAATCAATCTTATAAGGCGGTAAAATTGGTGATAAATGTTTGTATAAAACTCTGTAATAAACGCAGAGAAAATAGTATTTACCTTTTAAATGAAAATTAAAACAATAGAAATATTTTGTATTAATTTTTATATTCTTGAGGTAAAATGTCTTGTGTTGTTCAAAATTAGCAAAATTCCTAAATATGAGTAATCTAAATTTTATATTTAAAGGAGAATTGTTTTAAATTAACCTATATGAAAAAAATATATTTTAGGCACATATATATTTTGCTCTAATATTTTATATATTTTATTTTAAGTTATAATATTCTGACTCGCTAACGCTCCCACAGCGGTAAAGTCTAAGAGAGGAGAAAACAAACAAAAACAACAACATTAATATGAAATATTTATGATATGTAAATAAGTAAACCGTAAGAATCATTAGTTCCAATAACTATGATAACAACCTACTTAGTGTGTACAAAAGGTATATTATTAATCACTTCTTGAAAATTCTAAAAAAGCATACTAACACAATAAATTATTTCACTCAGGCCTGTTTCTTACAGATACTAACCTGTAAAAGACTTAACGACTTCAAAAAAATAAGAAGGTACTCAGCTCGAGTGTATATTTTAACGTATTTGCTATACGATATTTTCGGTAGTTGCAAACCAATTTTCGTGTTTATTTTATTATTAAACTAGCATTGCCCGCGGCTCCGCCCGCGTTCAGATGACCAAAAACTAAATTCTTAGGTGTTACATATTAGTATACTCTTACATTGCAGTTTTTGTATTTTTCCTCAGAAATAAGATATTTTCCCGCGGTAAAAAGTATCCTAGGATCGCGCGCTACATCGCCCGGTTTATATAGCTTGAGCAGGCGGTCGAGCGATGCGGGGCAGAGGGGATGGACTCGCCGTAGGCATCTCAATGCTCGCCAAGCATTAAAAATGTTTCGCTACTAATTACTTCTAACAACGATATCTCAAAAACTATTCATCTGATTGATTTAGTGTAAAGAGCAATTTTAATCTGCATTAAATGACTAAGCTAACTAAAATATTCATTTGGATAAGGATTAATACCGAACTAAAGAAAATAACTTTGAAAATAACGTAATGTTTTTAATTAAAAATGTTAACATAAAAGTGGTTATTGTAAGTCAACCGTAAGAGATAGAGATATGCTATCGCGGACTTTTTTGTAGCATTTTTATAGATTTTGAATTCTCTAGTACATTACTTAACTGTATCTTTGCTAGTTTACGCGGCGTTCGCGTGGAAAGTTCCCATTTGGCGAGATTTTTTGCGACCTCTTCAACATTTGTCGCCGTATTTCAGCTAATTTACATAAAAGCATAATAAATTATATACCTAAACCTTCCTCAAGAATTACTCTTTCTATTGTTGAAAACCGTATAAAAATCCGTTCAGTAGTTTTCGAGTTTATCGCGTACAGACAGACAGGAGGACAGACAGGAGGACAGAAAGACGCGGCCGGGGGACTTATTTTTATAATAAGTATAGATATGTAAAAATTTACTCAAGGATGATTCTATAGGAATATTATAGGAAAATATCTACCCCAAGATTGAAATAAATACAGGTATTTAAAGTGCTTAAAGTTAGTAAAAGATTGAGTAATGAGTTCGATTCTTAATATATCAAAGAAGCTGTGTGTACTTATTTATAGTCAGCGCTTGACTTACACTAGGGGCACTCGGGGCTAGTGCCCAGGGCGGCAAATTTTCAGGGGTGGCTAAATGCGGAGAGTGAGAAAAAAATTAAATGTTATCGAAAATGCTTTAAGTATTTTCTAAAAACTGAATAATTAACAAATAAAATACTAGTACATTTAAAAAAAATGAAAATAGTATGAATAATTTTTTTGCATTTTTCAAAAAAAAAATATAACTAAAAGAAAATAAATTTTGATAATGGGGTGGCATTTTTTACACTGCCCAAGGGCGGCGCTAAGATTGAATCCGGCACTGCCTATATTGAATATACTATACAGATATCAAAATAAAATGAATGTTTCAATTATTTAGGGTTCCAAAAAAAGTATATTAATAATAATAACCTAAGCGTATAACCTAAGCGCATCTCGTGTTTCTTTTTTTTATATTACGTAATACTATTATTATTTCCCTCGAGATTTATTGGATTGCTCTGGATAATAATCATCGGATAATATGCCCCTAGGGAAAAAACTAATACGATAATTATTTAGGATCACCCTTAAATTACATGAAGCATTAAAAAGAACGAAATCATGATTATCGAATGACAATAATAGGCGAAGATTATACATTATATACCCGTATTGCGTATTTCTACTTTTTTGAAGTGGTCGAAATACACTTTAGCTACAGGCTACAGCTAAGCCATATTATATTTACTATGGCAAGTGAGTGTTTCGTTATGGAGCCAATGGCATCAGTTTTACGTGTTTTGAGAGTTTTCGGAATGGCGCCAATTAAATTGATTCCTTTGCGACCAGCTCATTCTCGCCTCACACCGTTAAATGGATATCATGTCTCTGTTTCTCGAAGCTTACGAATTTACAGTTACATTTTCGTCACAGTTTATAGTAAGTAACTTTTCAGTATTAACATATTATGTATTTTAAGCTTTTTTTTCTTAAATATTACTTGCAATCCGCAATTTCCGAAACGATCAAACCAAAAATGATCAATTTTATAATGACAGACGTACCTACATCCAAGTATGCGTACCTACTTGTGGATAAATTTTGTTATTAACTCACATTATGTCACCAGAACTTCCCTACGTTATTTACTGGATATTTAAACCAAATTTTAAAATATTCTTGTTTTTTGGAAATTAAAATCAATCATAATTTATTACATTTTCGTTAAATTTGATATTTTCAATAATTTACTATTTTGTCGATTATTCTCGCGGTTTTTTTTATTGTTAGTTCCTGACATTTTGAATGCTTTACAGCAATCATGGTCACGAGTGAGACCGCACGGACCGTAGACTCGGAAGTCTCGCAGATTGTTATTATCAAGCCTTTGTTAACCGACTTCCAAAAAAGGACGAGGTTCTCAATTCGTCGGAATCTACTTCTTTATGTATCTTCACCGATTACTCGAAGACGCCTGAACCGATTTGGATTTTTTTTTGTTTCAAAGGGTATACTTATATAGGGTATAAATTTTATCGAAATCGGTCAAGCGGGTTTTTTTAAATAAACAAAGTCGGTGCCAGCCAATAATATTTTAAGATATGAATATCTAATAGGTAAATATGTGTTTTACGTATCGAAATATATTAGATTTGCTTTGCATCGGCTGGCACTGACTTCGAAAATATCTGATCAGGTATCTATTCTAAATGAAAATCCCCGTTTAGTTATTTTTTACATTTTAGTGGCTGGAAGTCGGTTTTTATTTTTTAAATAATATTAATGTTTCGCCTTAAGTAAATCAATAAATTTAAGTCTGAATATAACAATTAATTAATATGTTTCAGTGATAGCTGACTTTATGAGAGTTGTACATTTAGAAAATTATGGATATCTAGGGCAAATGAAAGGATTGCGGACTGTGGTTTGGATAATGATATATTTCGCTAAAGGACTTTTTTATCCTATAATAATATCTTTGGGTACTCTCAAAGGATACAGTAGGATGAAGAACTTAGTGGAGTACGTAAATACTTTAGAAAAAGTAAGTTAATAGGGGTTAAAGTATGAAATTGCCGATTTGTACAGAAAAATTGAAATTCGATCTTTTTAAATTTAACATATTTATTTTAATCAAAATAATTGCCATTATTATCTATACATTGCTGCCATCTAATAGGAAGGTCATTTATGCCTTTGCGATAGAACTCTGGTGATCTAGATTCGACAAACTGTATGAAGGAATTTGTACTGCCTCCTGAGAAAAAAACTTTTTATCACGTAGAAAATTGTCCAAATCACGAAAAAAATGGTAGTCCGTTGGAGCAAAGTCTGGCGAATACGGAGGGTGACGAATGGTTTCTAATTGCAGTTCCTGTAGAGTTAAAACGGTTTCTCGTGCTGTATGAGGTATCGCATTATCATGGAGCAATAATGGTGAAGATCGATTCATGAGTCGGGGCTGTCTCACTGCTAGTATTGCTATCATTGTTTGGAGTTCGGCACAGTAGACATCTGCCGTTATTGCTTGACCAGAGCGGAGAACGCTATAGTGAATAGCACCATGCTGAGACCACCAAACAGTTACCATTACCTTTTTATTGGTAAGCTTTGCTTTAGGACACTGTTGCGGAGTTTAACCTGGGGTCAGCCATTGCATTTTTCGCATACGGTTATCGTAAGGAATCCACATTTTATTACATGTCACAATTCGATCCAATATTCCTTCATTTCTGTATCGATTCAACAAGGCAACTCAAGTTTCAACACGCGTTTCTTTCTGCAGATCAGTCAAATCATGAGGCATCCATTTTTCATATTTTTTTATTTTATTGATTTGATGCAAATGAGTCAATATTGTTGGTAAGGTAACGGATCGGCTTCCACCATCTCTTTCAATTCACTGTTATTCACCTGTATGGGCGGTCTTCCACGTGGTTCGTTCTTCAAATCAGAGTTTCCATCAAGAAAGCGTTTAAACCAAAACCGCACGGTGCGTTCATTTGCAGTCCCCTCTCCAAACGCAACATTGATATTCTGAGCTGTTTCTGCTGCTGTTTATATCATTTCCGAGAAAAAATACGAAAACTGCATTATATATATACCACATGATGATGACCACAAACCTTAGGTTTCACATATTAATATATTAAAATTCTTAGGTTTTACATTGCAGTTTTTTTTTTTTTTTTTCAGAAATGAGATATTTTCCCGCGATAAAAAGTATCCTATATGTTGACCCGGATAACCAGCTATCACCATACTAAATTTTATCAAAATAATCCCTCCAGTGGCTTTTCTGTGATGCGGTAACAGACAGACAGACAGATAAAAATTCTAAAAACTATAGATTTGGCCTCTGTATCGATAATAATGTCCATTTCAATAAAATTTCCAAAAAAATATTTAATTTACAGATTCGACTTAGTTACAATTTTATTATATGTATAGATATTCATAAATAAAGATTTTCAGCACATACAAATTTTCACACATATTTTAATTTTCATATGATTTTCAGCTGAACTGGGAAATGAATAACAGCTACGCGAACATTAAGACAAAATATTCTAAAGCCATTTTTTGGGGTTTCTTATTAGGCCTCTACTTTATTGGTGCTATCAATATTTGTACGTCGATTGCATCTTTGTCAAAAATTGTTAATGGTAGTATTTTACTAACAATTTTTTTCGAATAAATTGGACATTAAAATATTATATAGAGTGTAATCTAAGACTTTTTCTTTTTTTTCAGTACATTCTCTACTACTTTTTATGTACTATAACACAGAAGTCTTCATACTGCTTTTACAGTTACAGTTTGTATTCATTGTATTCTTAGTGAATGGAACGCTACGTGTTCTACATGAGCGCCTCACATCAATAATTGTAAAATCAGAAGTATATAGTACGTTTTATCATACTAATATTTTTCTTAAAGTCCCTAATTTGCATCCTTAAATAACGTCCTGCTCTTTTAATATTGCCCGCGGCTTCACTAGCGCTAAAACTACATTTTTTTTGGATTGTATTATAACGTGTTTTTCCGTGGGAACTAAATAATCTCCCACGGTAAAAAGTAGCCTTTTTTTCTTTTTTTTATAGTTGGAAAATCCTATTACGGATACCACCCGACTTCCCCCGGGGTGGTTATGTGGAGACTCTCCGGCTAATGAGACCGGCATACCCACTAAAACCCAACTTCCCCCCCCCCCTGCCGCCATGTGGGACGCCACGGGATCGCTCTCGCATACAACCGCGACGCCCCGACGGTTGGCCGAAGCCACCAAGCATGAGGCCGCCCCAAGCGGGACAACCCCATTATGGGAAGACTCTCAACCCAAAAAAGTGAGGCCGCTCCTACGTCCACTCTGCTGATCAGAGAAGTACCCGGAGCAGCCCCACACCACACAAACACCGCCCACCGAAGTGGGCAACCTGCAAAAAATAATAAAACCCCACCCAAATTGGGCAAACCCCCCCAAAGACGCTCGCGAACGAGCCCACACACAAACGGCTGCAGGAGAAGAGGATGCGACAACGCCGACACTCCCCTTCCCCTGCAGCCCCACCGCGTCCACCATCAACGGTGGTGGCCCCGCTAGGCCGCGGGAGATAGGGACGAGTGGCGCATCGCCATACCGACACTCCTCTTCCCCCGCGGCCCCCCTACCGTCGGCCCACCTCCGGACCAAAATGGCTGCCGACAACCCTCGGCAGACGCAAAACTACCGAAATGGCCCCGCTCCAGCCGCCGCACCGACCGGCTAGCCCCGGCAGTGTGGCCCGCGCAGCACCTCCTACCGCGAAACGGCCGGAGACACCGCGCTACCTCCAAGAAGGAGACGGCGCCCTCTAACGCCGCTCCCTCAACCCCCCTCCTGGCTGTTGGTCCGCGCCAGATTGCTCCGGTACCACAAGCTCCTGCACCAGTCTAACAGGTGCGAGTGGTGCTCCCCTATCCGCCACCCGGGGACGCGTCCGGTAGCAGTCAGCCTCTGCCCCGGACGGTAAAAAGTAGCCTATGTCACTCTCCAGACGTCCAACTATCTCCACACAAAAAGTACCATCCATCACTCTGTTTTGACGTGAAAGAAGGACAAACAAACACACTTACACATTTATAATATTCACTCCCTTCATCATCTCCCTGTTTTTTTTTAACGTTGGGAAATGCATTTACGCACGAAGTGTGGGACTCACCGGCGAAGCCAGTACTACCCACTAAAACCCAACAAAACCTTCCCCCGTCTTAATGGGGCGTCGCAGGATCGCTTACGCATTCAACTACGCCCCGACGGCAAGTCTGCCGAAGCAGACCGCAACAACCAACCAACATGGGGTTGCTCCACGGTCCACTCTGCTATCAGAGAAGTACCAGGAGCAACCCGCATGGTACACCGCCCTCCGAAGAAGGCCGCCTCCCACCGCCCACCGAAGCGGGCCACCTCCCTGTGCGTTTCTTGGCTTCGCGAGTACACTACTGAGCCCCCCCACCACGACAAGGTGAACGCACGTTGGGGGGGATTCATCATCTCCCTACCCCTTTCCCAATCACTTGGAGTCGGCACAGTACATCTTCCGTACTATAATATCAGTACGAATGTTGTATTTATATGTACATTACAGTGACTAGCATTTAATATTTAATCTTTGCAGCCTTCTTATTATTAGCCTATCACATCGTTAAATTCTACGATATCCATAATAGAAAACTAAAAATTATTTAGAAATGATATCTTTTGACCACGTGATGTAATAATATTATTTCCATTTTTTTTTTCATTTTCAGTAGAAAGTTTTTGGAGGATGCCAACTTGTTTGTGTTTTACCAAGCCATTTCACAACGAGAGTTTTGTTCGTTTGTATAGTCCTTGATTTAAAAAAAACTTACTAAAACTACTGTATTTCAGGTGTATTTGGTGATAAAAGTGGAAACTCTGCACATATAACGATACGAAATTTTCATCAAATATATAAATCAATTTGTAATCTTGTTATACAAATAAATGAGGACGAGGGCACTCTCAACTTTTTCATATTTATGTACAAAATACTAGATCTTATATATGGTCTTTATATTTTACAAACGTTATTAGGTTAGAATGCTTAAACTTGTTTACTTTTTGCTAATAATTTATAATAAACAACTCACGATGAAGAGCGATCAATATTCATAATTTTCATACTATTCTAGATAGTAACAACATGCTTAACTTGGGTAATAAGATATTGAAGATCGTATGGATTATTTTTAGATGCGCTATGTTGATTTTGCTGATAGAACCGTGCCATCAGACTTGCAAGCAGGTAAAAATTGCGGTCTATTTCTGTTAGCTGGTTTAAGCGGAAACAATACAAAATAAATAACAATATGAAATAAATACGAGGCACTTTCTCAACATGATATATGTATGGATTTAGTTTCAGATGATGCGTGTTTTAGTCAGTCGCCTGTTATGTATATCAACTGAGCAAAAGACAAAAGAAGAATTATATTATTTCTCTTATCAAATAACGCTAGACATGCCCAAATTTTCGCCCCTTGGCATGGTTACTTTCACAAGACAACTTTTGTTAACGGTAAGTTATTTAAGTACATTTTCTTTATCTATGTAACCTGTATATTACTATACGTTATCAGTGGCGGGAGTTATTAATAGGTTTCTATAAAGTATTTCAAAGTTCGTTCTAGTGTTTCCTATTTGTATTTCATAATCGTCAAAATGGACAAAAAAACAAATTCCTTCCAATTTATTTATGCCCATCAGCCCGTATGTCACAGCTATTTTACTCAGAGGCTATGAGACAATATTGTGGTCAAATGATGAAAAATAAAAAGAACCACTCAATTTTTCACCTCCATACGTGTAAGCGAGGGGTGACAAAAATTTTAATCCAGATAAGTTTGTGAAATATCTTGGGGTTGGTCTTTAAAAATAAGTTTTAGACAACTTTTTTATGTTCAAAAGTCCAATTTAATGTCAAATTCTATGGTTACAAAATCATAATATATATTAGGTTATTTCTTTTAGATGTACCTATTCATATATTTTTTTAAGTATTAAATTGTTAAACCCTCCACGACCGCGGACACGCCGGCGTGTCAGGTAACAATAGATTTCTTAGAATTTTAATTAATTTCTTAGAAATTTACCTGAAGGTGTTAAGACCCTCCTCTCCCATCCATCCAGTGTTAGTAGTGTTAGTATATTATTACTTTTAAGTAATAATATAAATAATATAGAAAATGTATATAGCACATTTTCGCCGGGTGCCAGCTACCAGTATAATATTAATAATATTTTAAGTTTGTTCAAGTGTTTAATATGCTTAAACCTACACGTAATATTATATTGTAATTTTGTATAATTTTCTTTGCTTTAAATAACTTTAATCTTGTAACTATCCTATATTAGAATTATATGGTTTTTTTTAAGTTTTTCACCTTACTTAATCATAGAGTATGCATATGGGAAGAAGCGGGCCATTCCCAACACAAGTATCCTCGGATTACTTACTGGGAAGACTCGAACACAAAATGTAAAGATGATTAAGAAATAAAAACTATTTTTATTTTATTATTATTATTATTATTATTATTATGGGTTTGCAACTTGTACAGATAATGTGTTCTGTCACTGTGATATTTTAGAAAAATTTATAATTAATAATTTAAGTTTAGATCGCTGTGGTAAAAAAATCCTTAATTGATAATAGCATTGAAAAGTCAGAAAAGTGTGAGTAATGTTGCTCAAAAAGTATTAAATATAGATTTAACAGATGAAAACCCAGATAACGTATATTCAAAGTTATTTAATTTAATTTTAAATGAATTAAATAATATTTCTAAAACAAAAACAATTTTTAAATATTTAAAATAGAAATTTAGTGACGGGGTACCGTTGGAATATATAGGAGTAGGGAAACATTATATGAATTGTATAGTATGAAACAATGGAATTATGATCCAGTGATCCTTAGTAAACTAAGAAATTTTTCTGTTTTTTTTTTAAGTATGTTTCCAAGTGAAATCAATATTTGTAAGAAATAAAATCATAAATTCTGATAATAAAATTAAAGCAAACTGGGACATTGGTATTCTTACGTTGCGTCACAATATATACTGTGTAATATATTACTTGTTCGCAAAAATTTAAATAATTATGTAAAACAGTGATAGACGCACAATAAACTCTAGGAATAGAAATAAGCTTGTTACGCCCAGATTTCGACTCCAAAAGGTGAATAAATCCTTCATGGACCTGTGGATACGCATATATAATAAGATTCCACAAAATATCAAAAATTAAAAGATAAAATTGAAAATATTTTACTGAGCAAAGCGTATTACACTGCTCAAGAGTTTCTTGTTAATGGAAAAATGTGGAATTGAGAAATATTGACTTTTTACGGGCTACCTTCATTGTTATATTGATAAAATAAATGTAACTTCGATATTTAAAAGAGCAACTATTGAGTTTCTTGCCGGCTCTTCTCAGCAGAACTGCTTTCTGAGCCTGACGCTTACATTAAATTGACGATTCAAAAGCACTTGTAAAAAGTTTAATTGAATAGAGTTTATTTCATTTCAGAGACAATATACCTTATCTCAAAGTAATGTGAATTAATTTGACACTAATTTGTAATTTTCAGACGGCTGGCGCATTTTTCTCATATTTGGTAATTTTATATTAAATGACGAAGTGGTCATGAGAATTCTACTCAAAGATATGATAAATAAAATTTAAAATAGTTCATTATAATACTAAGTGGTCACTTTGTTCTTTTATTCTACTATGCACGAGAAAATATTCTTTACTTTTATTATATATTTTTTTTAGTTTAGTAATAAAGTAACTTAGAGAATGCACGTTGTTTTATTATATTTTTGTACTCAAAACCAGGGTCTAGAAAGAGATGGCAATAATACTTTCCTATTGAAAAAAGGGAAAAATGCGGCTATAATGTTAATGTATGTTTCGTTAACATCAGATCGAACATATATATGTCACATAATATTATTATGTATAAGATGTTGGTAATAGCATTTTATGTACATATAATACAGTGACACAATAGTTACAACCTTTTATACATATACTAGCAGAACCCGCGACTTCACTCGCGCTAAAACTACAAAAAAATCTAAAAAGGTAGGTTTCATACAAACTTTTATTCCGTATTTTACCCTCTTATGGGATAAATTTCGAAAAATGCTAAAACATGTATTTATTTAATTATATTGAATAGAATTAATACCAAATTTCAAGTAATTCTGACCATAAATATTTTTTTGGATTGTATTATAACGTGTTTTCTCCTGGAAAGGAGATGATCTTCCGTGATAAAAAGTAGCCTATGTCACTCTCCAGCCCTCAAACTATTTCAACACAAAAAAAATCACGCCAATCCATCACTCTGTTTTGACGTGAAAGAAGAACAAATAAACACAATTATAATATTAGTATGGATGTTAAATTCGGAACGGAATTTGTATTTGCGTTAAATAAATCATAAGAACAATTATAATATAATTATTGTCATAGTTAATGATGCAGCTAACGACCTATTTACTTTGTAAAAAAGGCTGATTAACTGTTAGTACATGTCTTTGAACTCATACAAAATAATCGTAAAAACCTTATTTTTTAGAAATATTCAGTCCTGATTTAAAAAAAATTAAAGATTTTTTTATTGCATATTAGCAATGCTAGTAAAACGTAAAGTGTTATACCGGAGTTAGACTGAAAGCATGTCTGCCAGCATTTTGAAAAATTAAATCAATTCATTCTTCATCGATTGATATTATTCTTATTATATTGGCAAATCTTTATATATATAATTCTTCTGTGAGTGTGTATGTCACTAAACTTCTCTCAAACGACTGGACCGATTTTGATGAAATTTTTTGTGTGTGTTCAAGGGGATCTGGGAATGGTTTAGATTCACAATTTGAATAATAATTTTCATCAAAATGGTCCAGAATGTTTTAGCTTATTAAAAAAAGTTTGAAATTTTCAAATTAAAGACGTGTAGACAGGACAACGTCTGTCGGGTCAGCTAGTAAAATATAAATTTCAAGTGATTCTAGATAGCATTAACTATATATCTATATAACTATATTATTATCATAACTTGGACTCTAAAATGTTGAAGATATTTTAGATTATTTATAAATTATATATGTTGATGATAGAGCCGTGTCATCAGACCTGGATGCAGGTAAAAAATGGACACCTTTTACTGCGTACTGGTTTTAAAGTAATAATGTACAAAAGATAATAAATACCAAAATGACTTTAATAAAAGGTACTTTATCAAAACGATAAACAGTGTTTAATTTTATCGATGAAGATAGATGATTCGAGTTTTAATCAGCCGCCTGATATGTGTAACAACTGATGAAAGCACGAAAGAAGTATTGTATTCTTTTTCTTATAGTGTTTAGTGTAACACTAAATATACCTACATTTTAACCTGTTGATATGTGCCAACGAGTTTCAGGCTGAGTAGTCGTTGATATGTGTACTTTTATGATACAACTTTTATTACACACACACACACACGCACGCACGCACGCACGCACGCACGCACGCACGCACACAGTAGGTTATGAATGTAACGTCTATGTAACTTAATAAGTGAAGCTATACAAAGATACATATGATGAACCACTCGTATGTCTATATTTGAATGTTATCAGTGCATTTAAATGAAAACAGTAATTAAAAGACAGTAAAATTAGATTGCAAAAATAGACTTATCTCTAGAAGATACATATAGTTCTTTTCCAGCCAACCTATGGTAGTGAGAAATATAGTTTTTGGGCCACTCTACTGTACATTAGTATATATAAAGTACTTGCCAAAACTACTCTCTTATTTTATGAAAGAAATCAACTTTCAGCACGTATAGCGATACAGAATCTTTATCATAAACTAGCGGCTCACCCTCACTTCGCTCGAGTTCGTCGCTAGGTACGTTTTAAATAGATATAAATAATTATTAGCCAGCGTAAGTCATATAATTTTTTTTTTTTTTGTTAATAATATTGACAAATATTGACATTAATATTTATACGGTAGTTACGTTAGCTACAGTCGGAAGGTCGAAAAAAAACCAAAAACTAATTTAAACTAATTTATTTTAAAATTACAAATTAAACTTATTATCTAAATTTAATGTCCAACCTACTCGATGTAAGTTTATGGAATGTCACTAAACAATATGTAAGAATTAAAGTATCCGAAAACTGCAACTCTGCATTCCCGTCCCGATGTCGACATTCTGTTTATTATTTCAATCGTGGGAATTTAATGTATAAGCGATTCACTTGGAACACCTGTATGTAACTCCTCCACCCTCATCAGCAATTATTTTAGAACATTGAGATAAAATGTGGCTGGCATGTTCCTGCGTGGCTCCGATGTCCCTGTTTCATCCAATTGTTCAGTAATGTTATCATTTG